CTCTTGCAGATTGCTAGTTTTGTCATAATTCCTCCTGCCTGTGAAAAATAAAGATTATATTCAAAGCTAGGCCACTTGTTGGTGTGTATTTATTTATATAATAAAAGATGAATATTCCAACTTCAAAATTTATAATATAATTTTATGGGTCCACAGTTTCAGAAAATAGAGTATCTATTCATATTGTTTAATTAAAATTTACATGCAGATGCTGAAATATTTTGTTTTTAAAAATAGGTCATTTTTCTCAGACTGAAGACAATTTGATATCCTTTTTATTAGAGGAAATAAAGTTCTTTATAAAAGTCTCATGGAAATTAAAATTCCCACAATAATATGAAAAAAAATTCTAAGCATACTTTATATGCTGGCAAATTTTAGAGAATGGGTTTCTACTTATTTATCCATTAACCATTTTACTCCTAGTAAATTAATATTTGGATATTTTAATGGCAATGAAATTAACATTAATGGCTTTATTCTTAGTGAATTTATATCACTATTTCAATTAACTGCATTTAGAAAAGCATGTTTTCATTATCTCTCTTTAATAACTTCAGTATTGTAATTATATTATACAGTAATTATTAATAAATTATCTTGGTAAAATTGCTTAATTTAATTATGAAAAGTATTGCTCTTTGTAGTCATTATGTTATGAATGATAGTGCTTTTGAATTTAAAACTTTAAGAAAAATTTTTAACATACACTTTTTATATGATGTAGACAAACTTGGTATCAACGAGAATGGCATAATTGCTTATACTCCCAATATTCATTTATATTTTTTTCATACTATACTTAGATAAGTTCTCTATTTTTTTAAGTTTTATTTATTTATTTGTTTTGTCCAGAAAATACAAGAAGCTACTTTTTTTCTTTTAAACTAAATGCTCAAATGTGTAACTACAGCAATTAACTACCTTATTTTTCAGGCTAGTGCTCTGCATACCTCTTAGGACTGAGGTCTTCTATTTTCAGTTACTACAGGGTAGAGACAGAAGGTGGGGATAGAATTGATGGCAGATGGAGCTAAAGAGCTTCCAGTTCCCTCCAAACTCTCCTATTGCAGTTTCATTATTTGACTTGATACAGTTATATTATAATAAATATCTTAAATATTTCAATATCAAGGTAATTATTTTGAATAATCTGTGCTATGTATGTTGTTTTTCTTCTTTATCTTGTTACAGGTTTTTGTCCTCCACAAAGAGTAGAGTGCATTACTTGGTAAACATCATGGATTAGTATGCAAAACAATGGCAATGTTTTAGATGACCTAGTATTCACATCCAATATGCACATTTTGCTAATTTGGTTTGTGATAGACATCTTAGAAGAATTAAATAATATTCAAGGTTATATTTTAACAACAGGAACAAAAAAAAGTGGACTAAAGAATTGGAGTTTTAACATGTTTTGTGATGTAAACCTGCAACTTGTAGAACTGAAATTTCTGCCCTCTGCCACTCACAACTATTTCTTTGTACATTCAAATGCTCTTATATTTTCATTATGAAAAAATGTAGTGAGATCTGTATATAGACATGGTTTTATTTCAGATCATTTTTAAACAGATGTTCACTTGTAGCCAATGGACAAAATCCAAAATAGATAAGGTGTTTTATGTAAAATGAAACAATAAAAGAAGACAAAATTTAATAGAAATCATTTAGATTATTTGAGCTGCTTAGAAGTTTTGAAGAAGTGGGTGGGTGAAAGAAATCTATCTTTTTCTTAGAGATTTATATATTCATATTTTATATGAATTCACATTTTATAATTTATATCATCAAAAAGTTGAAGAAAGATAATACAGGTTTTATTCAGTGTTTCTATTGTTACATTATGAAACAAGTGTTTTAAATCAAAACTGATAGCTTTCTTTCCAATTTTTCCTATTTTCTCTGCCACATAGAAATTGTAGATAATATATGATGCTTAAGATGATGACTATGAGTTTTCTCAGAAAAAATCTCTGAAATTAGCAGTAATACCATATAGTATCCTTGAGAAGTCAGAGTTTACAATTGTCCTCTAAGTGGATCAGAGCGTTCTTGAATGAGTCAACCCTTGTTTTCAACTCTGAAATTAAAATGTGCAATTTAAAAATCATTTTCATCTGATTTAGGAGGTCAGTTTTATGTGCTTAAACTACCATGAACGATTTAAATATTCCAAATCTGTGATCACTATTATTTTTTTTAATCCTATCTTGTTCCATGTTTCTAAAAGATCCCTCAATTCCCACTGAAGCTTCAAAGAGAATCATCACAACTCAATATCAGAACACAAAGTGCAGACACAATAAAGTGATGTCAAAGCCAAACACTTTGAGTCCATGGAGAAGAAAATTCTAAGGGGCAGAGTGCCAAAAACCAACGTCTTGTTAATATTTATTCTTAAATCACCTTTGAATATGGAAGGAAGGTGTCAGGGTACAACTACTTAGTCTCTCTCTCTTTTTTTTTTAAGTTAATATCTAATAGATAAGTTGTTTCTGGTGTATGTATATGAGCCAATGATGCAATTATAAGGAATAAGGAGTGAATAAGATCAAAGTAAATTCTAAAAGGAAGAAAGTGAGGTGCTATGCATAAGCCAAATTTAACTAACAGAAATAAAACCTAGTAACAGCAGCAGAGAAATAAAACTCAAGAGAGTTATAAACTGATGGGGTTAAAACAAATGGGTTTGAACTTATGGAAAAAAAAAAACAAAAAAAACATACGAGCAACAGGGACAGAGGGGACCAGGAAGTGGGAGTTGAGGCGCAGCGCAAAAGGGAAAAAAGATGTGACGTCACAAAGCCCGCTGGCTCAAAACCGTTTGCAGTTCATTTGACTGAGAAGCAAAGGGTGAGACTTGTCATTGGAGACTTGCCGTTGGAGACTTGCCCAAGCCTTCTTCACTGGTTCTCTCAGACCTAACGTTACTCCTAACTCAGCCATTTCTGGTTTGCAAGGTAGTGACGACAAATCTCATGAAGATGGAGGTCACGGAAGAAAGCACCATAGAGACTTCACATTTGACCCAAGGCACTTCAATCATGTTGACTAGTAACACTGGTACAAATAAAGTTTTTGTCTCAAGAGAGGGCAAGAGGAAGAAGAGATCGCACTTGCCAGCTGAGGCTGTGAACATCCTCCGCAACTGGCTGTTTGAGCACGGGTTTAAGGCTTATCCTTCAGGAGTAGAGAAGCAAATGCTATCAGAGCAGACCCATTTGTCTTTCATGCAGTTCTCCAACTGGTTCATCAATGCCCGCAGATGCGTTCTTCCAGAAATGCTGCAGCAGAATGGAGACGACCCCAACCGGATCACTATCTACCATCGAAAAAGCAAGGCTGCAGATGTGGTACACGGGGAAAGCACCAATCCAACTATCAAGACCAAGTCAGGGCCCAGAGAGCCAGAAAACATGCAAAGGTTGCCCCTGAGCCCCCTGCCAATGGCCCAGGAGTCAGGGGGAAAGCTGCTGGATCCAGAGTTAGCCCCAGGCCAGAAGCTCACCCCGAAAGCCCAGCCAGAGGAAAAGGTTGAGATTTTTTCCAGTAGGCTCTTGTTTATCTCTACTCCTGAAGCCGTGTCAACAGAGGAATACAAGGATTTTAGCGGCTTCCAGTTGCTGGTCGATGCAGCTGTACAAAAGGCTGCAGAACTGGAACTATGGAAGAAGCATGAGCCCAATCTATGATTTCCTGTGTCCCTAAAAAAACAAATTGTTGGTCCTTGTCTATTGTAGTAGATTCATGTATGCTCACATAACTAATTTGCCACTTTACCTTCTACAGAAATTTTGTTCCATCTAAGGGTTTTATGAGAACTATTGATAGCTATTGAGACTCAATTTTGCCAGATGTTTCAGTGTTACCAGATGAAAGATACGAATTTGTCATCATGATTCACATGGCAGCAAAGATCTCTTCTCATTTCTTCTGCTTCCTTCTGGATTTAAATACTTTAGACAATCAGACCAGTTCATCTGAGACTAGACACAGTGCTGAGACTTCTTCAGAGGAGAATGTTTTGGCTTTTCTGATCAGACATTTTGGTCCCAGGACTGCTGCAAGTACCAAGTCACCCCTCTTTCCTTTCTCCCTTTCTCTAACTTTCCTTGTTTATTATCATGATGGGAAAGAAAGGCTTTTTAAAGAAGGCTATTACAGAACTGGCCTCATTTGAATGTTGAAGTTTTTATGAAAGTTTCAACTCTGTTTTCCTTTGTACTGATTATTAACAATATTAAAGAGTAGCTAATTTATTTCTGTAGGGGTATAAGCATGAGAGACAAAATGCAGTAAAAATAATAAAAGTCAAAATAGTAATTTTCTGCTGTTCATTGTTGGATAGTGGGTTTTAGAGAATACTTTTTATAAGTTTAATTCTCAGCATCAGAAGAAAAAGGTAAAAACAACAAAAAATAAAAAGCAGAAAAAATGACCAAAAGTTTCACCTAAGAAACAGAACAGAGGAAGATAATTTAAAAATACAGGGGGGGAAAGAATCATTCTTTAACATTTTATGAGGGAAGAAAAAAAAAAGTAGATCATGTATTCTAATGTTTTCGTTGTTTTGTTTGGGCTTGGTTTTACCTTTTAATACATTTGTTTTTCCTTTCAAAATATTTGGATTGGTAAGGGTAAAGATAAGAATAACAAAGGCTTCACACAGCTCTCACTTGGAAATAATCCCATTGTCCTATAGAGGTAGCTCTTCCCACTGCCTCAAGCACAGATTTTCAATAAGAACAGAAAATTTTTCCTCCAGAAAGCTGTAATTTAAGTTCGTGATCTTAGGGAGCTAAAACCTGAGGAATCTGAGGCTATAAATTGGACTGTATCCTCAGTTTCTACTCCAGTCCTGAGTGTAATAGATCATACTTGGTCTCTACTTCTAGTCCCCATTTTTTTTAAAATTAGTATCTGATTATTGGCAATTTTCAATACTAAACACTCTACCTTTTTTAAACATCTTAAGAAACAATAATCACAGGTTATTACTCTGGATATTATAATTGTGTACTTTACCAGGAAGGAAAGAGGCCCAGCTTCTCAAAACTGCCATTTCTAAAACATTAAAGTAAGTTAAAATTTCTAAAGCATGCAAAGATTCAGGAAGATTTAGAAAGAAGAAGGGCAAAAATATTATTTATAGCCTTACTCGGAAGGGCCCCAAAACACTCAATGAAGCTCCCATACCACTTTTCGTAGTCTCTTATCTGAGCCATTTTCTCCATATGGAGGTATAAGAGGCTTTCCTACAAGGAAAAGAAGCTCGTTATCTGTTTGAGAAAATTTTTTAGGCTCAGTCTATTCAATTCTGGATCCTAACTACTTTGTCTTCTCACTTGTATGTCCAAGAGGTTTTCAGTCTCTAGGTTTTTCTCCGACTCAGTGGAAAATTAACTGCTATTGCAACTTTACTACTGGGGTCTGGAAAAGGAACTTTCTTCTTGTCTAACCTCTTCTAGCTTGTCTCTAAAGCTGAATCATATAGAATTATTGTGGAATGATTATTGTAGAACCTCTTCTAAGGGAAATATGCTGGGATGACAGTGCTATTCATACATTTCCATTGTGCACATTGTAATGGTGGATCATATGCAATGGCGGTGTAGTTTTCATTGTATGGGAAGAAAGTAGGGAGCAGCTAGTCTTTGGTTTTTGCTTTGGTTTTGTTCCACAAACATGGGGAAGAAGCTTATTTTTTTTTTCAGTTAAATTAAGAAAACTGTAAAAAAAGAAGTTTTATTGTTGTGTTCCTATCAAATAATTTTTTATGGATTTTAATATGTGTATAATTCACTCTCATTCCTCCAGACTTTAACCACTTTGCAGTTGCAGCTTCTCTATTGCCATTATTCTCTAAGAGTAAAAATTAGAAAATTTTAATCTACTACACTCTGTGGAGAGATATGGAAATAATTTTCTAAAGAAACTTCAATTTTTAAACCTAACCACCAATTCCATGTTACTTGTGTTTAAAAACTATGTAAAACCTGACAGTAGAAAAAAATATATATATATATATCAGTTTCTAACACCACGGTCTCGTAGAAATAAAAAGATGAAGGTAGCATTGAGAAAACAGCTTGGTTTGGCTATTTCTTAGGAAAGAAAGCTTTCTACTTACGTCAATGGACTGTGAGAAGTATGTAGTAGAAAGTTTTACGATGAATGGGAAATCCATAGGAGTGGTTCTAAGAAGGAATAAGGCATAATTGGTTATGAATGAAGTTGCTCTATTCAATGTTTTCTCTCTGTCTCAGATGATGAAGAAGTGAGACTCATCAATGTATACTCCAATAATTTCATATTAAAAATATTCTTATAAAGGGATGTCACATTAGTGTATCTTAATATTCAGGTATAGGAGCACATTTCTAATTTAGTCATAAGAGATATATTCACCCTTGTGTTCTTTCATATCTCTCAAGAACACAACTTGCAATATCAGAGATTTTCCTTAGTTTATTTATTTATGAAGTCTAGATTGCCTTGCACATTTTTATTATGTGCTCTAATATATGCAATGCATTTCATTGAAGAGAAAACATGGGAGTTGGATTCTTCCGGATATTTTATTCAGTGAAGACTACAATCAAGAATATCTGCTAATCTCTCCAGCCAGCAAGGACATACTTTGTATACTATGATAGAGCCATTCCAGTAAATTTCCTTATCAGTTCCTTAAAGCATCTGTTTTTGGTTTTCAAATATTTCTCAACACTTATATTTGTTTTATTTTAGTTACTATGTGTATTTTATATTATATTTCAAGGACCTAGACACCTGTATCATTCTTTCTGAAAAATATTTCTTTATTTAAGTGTTTATTGTTAAAAATATGCCCTAAGTCTTTTGGCTTTTTTAGTTCGTCTTGCTAAAATAAGGACAATAAGAGCAAGGTAAGCATGGATTTAGCCACTGACTCCCAGAATGTTAGAAAGAAGTCACATCCTTTGGAGCAAGTAAAAAGTAGATTGCTGGCAGGTCAAAGAATGTGGTCTTTTGTATAAGATGGCATATAACTATATTCCATTTTTTCATAGTTATAGATGATTACTTTGTGTTTTTAGAACCTCAAGGATTGGCACACACAAACTTCAAAAAATCATAAATAACTACGCCATTATCAATTGTAAAAAAAAAAATGTAAAATTTACTGGCAGGAAACCATCAAACATGAAACCCATGAGGCTAACTCTGACCTTTCACAATATAGTTTTTGCTACTATGTAAATAGGCAAAATGCCAGGCTGGGTAATCTATAAGCTTAATGAAGAATGGTTCTTAATACTTTCTATAAAATGTAAATTGGAGATGTGATAAACATTTTAATGTGATAAACATCTCCCTTATTTTGACTTAAAAAAATAAAAAAAACTCCTTTTCATTTTCAGTAGTGTTTTTATTTTGTTTCAACAATTCACATTAGCTCAATGATACTGGTGACATTTGGAGCTTTTAAGTTTGCATTCTTTTATATGAAAAAGATAATAACAAGGGTGACCGATATTTTTCTACTAAATATTCTAAATATTGGAACCTGCAAGTCCTTGTTGCACTCATATATAACAAGTGATTGCTCTTTATGGGATAAGATAGTTTTCAGATATTAAAATCCTGACCAGAGATTAGTAAGTGCCTTGGCTCACCATAAAATACGATGAAACATTTTATTATTTCTTATTATTAGTTATCACTATTACTATCCTTTTGAAAATGCTTAAGTTCTTGCCTTCTTATTCGAAAGATAGCCTAAAGAATTCTAAAGATTTTTTTCTTAGCTTTTGAGGTTGTAATACAGAAAAAGTTGAATAAGAATATATTGAAATCAGTGATAATTTTAATAAAAAAATATCAAAGAATAAAAATGCCTTTGGTGCATGTTACTGCAAGCTTAATATAAAGAACGAATATGAACCTTAATTGTTAACTATATGTCATGATATAAATTTTCACTGTTTTATCCTTAAGGAAAGATATTTTTAGTTTTCTAAATTTTCACCAGTTTATTAACTTTTGTGCAATCTGCTTATTAGAACATTGAAGAATATTAATAGTCTAAAATTAAAATAAAAACAAAATGCTTTATTAAATTTTAGTAGCATATAAAATTATGAAGTAATCGACTTTTAATAGAAATATCAGAGGAGATGTTAGAAATTCTTTTATATCTTCCTCTTAGCCAATCACAAATTTAGTAGAGTTTACTAAACAAAAGGAGGGTAATGTTGGATTTAAATGACATCAGGTGTGTGTGTGCATGTGTGTCTGTGTGTGTGTGTTAGACAAAGAAAGAGAGAATGAGAATATGAGAGAGAGAATACAAAACTCCAATGAGAGGGCAGGCTTTACTTCTGAGTCAATGCAGTATATTAGCAGAATCTTCACTGTGAAAGAAGTTCAGTTGATACCCCTTAGGTATTTCATAAAAATCTTATAGAAGAATTTCACCTTTAATAAGCAAAATATATATATCTAGATTCTGAAGTGCCAAGAGACCCTAAAAGCAGATGTCATGAACATGTATTGATCTTGGAACGTAATTTAAAAGTTACTTTTCCTGTATAAATACCATATGACTTTAACAGAAAATGTCAAGATATTATTTGATCAAGTGACCTATTGACAGGATACAAGAAACTTGAAAATTAACTTAAGGTGATGACTAGAACATAGACAGAGTATA